TTGACAGAAAACGTGTTTGTCGAGACAGATTTATTTCCATTATGTATTATTCACTTTATTTAACTTGAATTTAAATTTTAAAGAAATTTAAATTTTTAAATTTAAATTTACTTTTTTTTTAAAAAGATAATATTAAATTTAAATGAAAAGTAAATTATTATTTTCTTTTAGGCGTGTCCGCGTGCACGTGTGCGTGTGCGTGCACACACACGCATAAAATTGAATAAAAAATAAATAAATAAAATAAATTTTAATTGTTTTTTATGTTTATGTAGAGAGAGAGAAAAAAAAACGGAAAATCTTTTTTTTTTTACCCGCTTTTCCTTTGAAAAAAATAATAATAATAAAAGTTTATGTTAAATTTTTCTGCTTTTTTTTAGTTTTTGTTTAATTTATTTTACGATTTATTGGAAAAAGCTTAAAAGAAAATTTTCTTTTTACAACTTTGTTGTTTTTATAATTTCTTTACATATTTTATTTAAAAAAGTAATTTTTAACAAAAAATCCCTTTTTTATAAAAATAAATAAATAATAATTATTGTTTAACGTTTACCACATGCATCGTCAAATAAATAATAATAATAATAAAATAATATGTACTTATGTATATTTTTGTTTTCCCTTTAAATTTACACCTGTTCGGCATTAGTGAGAATAACATTTGATTTTTGTAAAAATATAAATAATAATAATAATAAATTATATATATTTAACAATAAAACAAAATGTCTACCGATAATATTTATCCAACATCGCGTGTAAAAATGTCAAAAAAAATAAGAAATTTATTTATTTATTTTTTTTTTTTTTATTTTTTATAAATTTTTACAGAAAAGTCACGAATGTAAAAAATTATTACGTAATAATATAGTATTAATTTTTGTATAAAAACTACTCTTATCGATATTTTCTTATTATGTACGCATACTTACATAAAATAAATTAATTAACGTTGCACACTTAATAAAAATTATAATGAAGTACATAAGAAAAAAGACAAAATTTTACTTTACTTATTTATTTATTAAATCTTTTCGTTTAATAATTTTTCGCAAAAAAGTCACGTTTTTCAATCGAATGTAATAAGCTTTTACGTATCCTATCTTTAACCTATTTTTCTACTTTAATAAATCTTATGTATGCATAAATAAATAAATTACCCAACGCCGTTTTATATAATAATTCATTTAAATAATAAATAAACTTTTTTTTTCTCCCCCTTCCTTCCTCTCTCTCGCCCCCTCCCTCCCTCTTTCCCCCTTCGAAATAATAATGATTAAACATAGATTTAATAATTTTTATAAAAAATATATTCGAAAGCAGAAGACAAACGATATTAAGATTATGTGAGCCAAAAAAAAAAAAAAATTTTCTTTTTTTTAATCAGCAATAAATTTAAAAATTGATATCCCGTGAATTATATATTAATAATAATAATAATAATATTAATAATAATAATTTCTTATGGATTTTTTTTAAAAAGAATTACTTTATTATATTTTAATAACTAGAGAATGAAAAAAAAAAGAAAAATCTTTTTTTTTTCGTTTTTTTTTTTACGTCGGGATTATTTTAATAAAAAAGACAGGAAGAGTATGAGGAGGAGAAGGAGGACAGGAGGAAGAGCCTTAAAAAAATAATTAGGAAAAAAGAAAAAATAAAATTTACTTAAAAAAACTCTCGAATTATTTTTTTAAAGAAATAACAAGTTGATAAAAAAAAAAAATTTAATGGGAAAAATTAAAAAAAAAAAAAAAAAAAAAAAAAAAAAAAAGGTAAAGTTAATGATTGAATGATACCATCGTGATGAAAATAATGATGATGTTCGATAAAAAATTATCAATTTGTTATTATTAAAAATAAATAAATAAATAAATAAATTTTTTTTTGTTATTAATAAAATCATTAAGTATAACTTTAAATAAAAAAATAAAAAAATTATTATTAAATAATATTATTATGAAAAAAACTTGTTGTCGGTCGTCGTCGTCGTAATTAACTTAAAATCGTGACAAAAAAGTTTTATTATTATTATTATTATCGTTATGGGGACGACCTAAAAAATAAAAGTTAAGAAGAGAAAAAAATAAAAAAAAATAAAATTTTATTTTTTAAAAAATTGAGACAAAATAAAATAAAAAAAATAACTTGTCAATTTTTTTTATTAATCTGTAGTCGACATTTTTTTTTTTTTTTTTTTTTATATATAAAAAAAATAAAATTTTATTTTGTATTCCGAAGGAGTTATTTATTAATTTATTATTATTATTATTATTATTATTATGAAAAAAAAATTATTTTTTCGTTAAATTTTCATTTTTCATTTTTTTTTTTAAATTTAATTTTTATTTTTTTTTTTTATTTAATGTGATAAAAAAAAATGATAAAAAAATTTCTCCTGCCCCCCTTCCCCCTCCTCCTTCTAATGTGTAATTTGAGTAAAAATCGATTTTTTTTTTTATTATTTGGCGAGTCGGAAATATTAAAAAAAAAAAACGCAAACTTTCAATTAATAAATAATAAAATAATTATAGAAAAAAACAAACAAAAAACAAAAAACAAACAATATTCAAAAGAAAGGTTTTTGATTAATTTTTATCCTTTTTTTTTCTCTTTTTTTATACGTCAAATGCAAAACTAAATTTTTTTTTTTATGTTTTCTAAACATTTATTTGATTTTATAAAAAAAAAGAACAAAAATTTTATTCTTTTTTAAATAAAATCAAAAAATTTCAAAAAGTTAAACATAATAAATTT